AGCAGGGATCCCGATGCGGGGCTCGATCCCAGGACTCTGGGATCATGACCTGAGCCGAAGGCAGACGCTTAACGACTGAGCCACCCAGGCGCCCCAGGCAGATGCCTTCTTTGTTGAGAACCACGGTTTTGCTCCTCAGGCCTTTCACTGACTGGATGAGGCCCACCCAGATTATCGACGGTCATCTCCTTCACTTAAAGTCCACTGATTGTAGATGTTCACCGCATCTACAAAATACCTTCGCAGCAACACCTAGATGAGCGTTTGAATAACCGAGTATCTACCCGGGTCACGTTGACACAGAAAACTAACCATCACAGGGGGGCGGGGGTGGAAGTGGGGAGACAGGGAATTGCTCTAATAACCCTGGAGGGAGAGGATGATGGCTCGGGAAAGGCAGGAAGAGCAGAGGTGGTGAGAAGGAATTGGATTCTGGACACAGTGTGAAGGTAAGCCAGCATGACTTGCAGGTGGAATGGATGTGAGAGAAAGTGGGGATCCAGGGGTCTGGCCTGAGCAACAACAAAGACAGAGCCGCCACTAACTGAGATGGGCAGACTCCAGGAAGAGCAGGTCTGGGGTAAGACTGAGCGTTCCGTTTTGGAGATGAGGTAGAGGTGCCTCCTAAACATCAAGCAGACAGCTGGACGCATGAGTCTGGAATCAGGGGAGCAGTCGGGGCTACAGACACAAGGAGCCCAGCGTTTGGCCAGAAACAATGGCAATGACCCAGGGGCCAAAGCTGTGCAGATAATAAGATACCACCACACACCTGTTAAGAGGATGAAAAGACAAGGTGCAGACTAGAACATATTTGCAAACTAGGGACTAGTACCTAGAATGTATAAGGAATTCTCAAAACTCAACAATTTCTTAAAAAGTCTAATCAGGAGGGGCGCCTGGGTGGCTCAGTCGTTAAGCGTCCGCCTTCAGCTCGGGTCATGATCCCAGGGTCCTGGGATCGAGCCCCGCATCGGGCTCCCTGCTCCGCGGGAAGCCTGCTTCTCCCTCTCCCACTCCCCCTGCTTGTGTTCCCTCTCTCACTGGGTCTCTCTCTGTCAAATAAATAAACAAAAATCTTTAAAAAAAAAAGTCCAATCAGGAAATGGACAAAAGACATAAAGAGACATTTTACTGAAGAGGATATACAGATGGCAAAAAAGCACATGAAAAGAAATTCCACCTCATTCATTATTAAGAAATCAGAATTACAGGGCGCCTGGGTGGCTCAGATGGTTAAGCGTCTGCCTTTGCCTCAGGTCATGATCCCAGCTTCCTGGGATCGAGTCCCGCATCGGGCTCCCTGCTCAGCAAGGAGCCTGCTTCTCCCTCTGCCTCTCTCTCTCTGTCTCTTACGAATAAATAAATAAAATCTTTAAAAAAAAAAAAAACAGAATTACAAAAATAATGATAGTGACAATACTAAATGCGGGCACAAATGTGGGGAAACCGAAAAAAAAATATGCAGGAAACTGGATCACTCCTAAATTGCTGATTGGATTATAAAACAGTACAGCCACTCTGAAAAACAGTTTGACAAGTCTCTTAAAAGCAAAACAAAACAAAAGCGAACAACTCCCATTCAACTCATTAGTTGTACTCCTGGGCATTCATCCCAGAGAAATAAAACTTATGTTCACACAGTTACCTGTAAACAAAGGTTCAAAGCAGCCTTATTCGTAATAGCTTAAAATTGGAAACAAGCCAGATGTCTTTCATCAAATGAATGGTTAAATACGCTGTGGCCCAACCATACCATGCAACCATTACTCTACAACAAAAAGAAAAAAGGTGTTGATACTTGCAACAACTTGAACAAATCTCCAGAGAAATATGCTGAGTGAAAAAAAAAAAATCCCCCCAAATTACATACTGCATGACTCCATACATATAATATTCTTGAAATGACAAAATTACAGAAATGGAAACCAGATTAGTGGTTGCTAGGAGTTAAGGAGGGAGTGGGGTTGGTAAGCAAATGGGCACAGCCAGAAAAGGGCAACAAGAGGGATTCTTGCCCTGAGGAAAATGTTCTGTGTCTTGACTCTATCGACGTTAATTACCTGCTTATGCTATTGTACTATAGTTTTGCAAGATGTTTCCATTGGAAGAAACTGGGTGAAAGGTACATTGGTTATTTCCTTCAACTACATGTGAATCTATAATTACCTTCTGCCCCTCCCCCTGCTCGCTCTCGCTCGCTCGCTCTCTCTCAAATGTGAGTTAGGACTTCACAACCGCTAGCATGCCTAAAGTTGAAAAGACTGACAATGCTAAGTTTTTACAAAGATGTGGAGCAACATATTGCTGGTGGAAATGCAAAATATACAAATGCTTTGGAAAACTGCTTACCTAGATATTTACCAAGAGAAATGAAAGCATGTATTCACAAAATGACTTATACAGGAATGGTTTTCCCGAATAGCCCAAGTCTGGAAAGAACCCAAATGTCCATCAACAGGTAAATGGATAAGCAAACGTGATACACCCATACAATGGAATGCTACTTAGCAATAAAAAGGAACAACTATTGATACACACAAAGACATGGGTGAACCTCAAAAACATCATGCTGGGGGGGGGAAGCCAAACACAAAAGACTACACTGTATGATTCCATTTATATGAAATTCTAGAACAGGCAAAACGAATCCATTGTGATAAAAATAGATCAGCGGTTGCCTAGGGCTGGGTGCAGGGAAGGAGATTGACAGCAAAAGAAGTTTGGGGGATAATGGAAATTTTCCGTATCTGGATTATAGTGGGCATAAATATTTGTCAAAATCATGGCTAATGTGTGCATTTCATTTTATAAAAATTTATATAAATTGTATAAATTAAAACTCAGTAGGGTTGATTTTTAAAAGACAAAATACAAGCCCGTATTTTGTCTTCTATTCAACAAACTTGGGTGCCAGGGTGGCTCAGTCCGTTAGGCAGTCCACCCCTGATTTTGGCTCAGGTCGTCAGATCGAGTTCCACCTCCCCTCCGGCTTAGCATAGAGTCAGCTTGAGATTCTTCCTCTCCTTCTGCCCCTCCCCCTGCTCGCTCTCTCTCAAATAAATAAATAAATAAAATCTTTTAAAGAAAGTACTCTGTCAGCTTGCTATGAAAGTTTCCAAATGCTCACGCTAAATTTCTGTACTTAAGTCTTCCACCCGCTGCATAACAAACAGTTCAAAACCCTGCTGTGGTCCGCAGACCACACTTTGAGTAGCAACGCCTGTGCCACTTTGCCAACTACTCGGCTTCTCTAATAGACAATCTCCGCAGCTCCACCTTCCAAATCTAGATCGGAAAGCCCGGAGGCGAGGAAGGGGGAGGCTCCGGAGGGACAGAGCCCCGCGTCACTGGGTCTTGAATACCGGCTTGCGCTGCAGCCTCAGCACCCGGTAGGTGTTGAGGCCCGGCACGTCGAAGCCGGGGGACAGCCCGTGGCGGTCCAACGGGTAGAAGTTGACGAGCTGCCCGTGCTGGGCCTCAAGAGAAAGCCAGGCGTCGCCGAGCGGCAGCGCGCACGGGAACTGGCGGGCCACGTGCAGCTGGAAGACGCGGCCGCGCACGTGGCGCAGCGCCAGCGTGCGGAAGGCGGCAGGCACCAGCGCCTCGACGCGCGGCCCGAACTGGCGCAGGCGCAGCTCGCCCGCCGGCCCGGGGCGCACCTCATAGAAGGTCTGGTTGGCGAAGGTGAAGTAGCCGGCGAAGGGGCGCGCGCTGGGCGGCGGGGCGGGGCTGGGCTCGGCCTCCCGGAGGGCCCTCTCCACGGCGGGCAGGAGCACGTCGTAGGCCTGCGCCACCAGGTCGCGCCCGGGGGGCCGCGGCCCGGCCAGGAGCAGCACGAAGCCCAGGCGCAGCGGCGGCACCAGGGAGAAGGTGGCGGCGTAGCCGTCCAGGTCGCCGTCCTTGCGCACCACGCGGTAGCCCCGCTGCGCGTGGAACTCCCATGGTGTGCCCGTCTCGTTGGCGAAGTAGGCGCCCGAGCAGGCCAGCAGCGGCGCCAGCAGGGTCTTGGCCGCGTCGGGCCGCAGGAGCCAATGGGGCCCGCTGCCCAGGAGCACCATGGCCAGCTTGGCCAGGTCGGCGGGGGTGGAGTACATCTGGCCGGACGGCCGGTACCAGCCCAGGTCGTAGAGCGGCGCGGGCCGCCCGCTGCCGTAGAAGCCCGCAGCCAGGCGGGCGCGCACGAGGGGCGTGAGGTCAAAGCCCGTGTCTGCCATCCCCAGCGGCTCCAGCACGTTCTCGGAGATCCAGCGTTGGTAGTCACCCTCAGCAGTGTGCGCTGCCAGGACATGCGCCAGAAGCGAGAAGGCCAGCGTGCTGTAATGGCACCTGGAAGAAGAAAGGGAAAGGAAACTGGGATGTGGCCTTGGAGGAATAGCTCCACGCCCTAAAGAGCCCCACGCCACCAGTCTAAAATGCCACCAGAGGTCCGTTGGGCTGGGTGAGGTGGAGAAGGAACCTGCTTCACTGCATCCCAGATGGTCAGACTCGGCAGAGACGCCAGAGGTCAGTGAATCCAAGTCCCTATCCTACATCTGGGAAGACTAAAGCCCAGAGAGGGGCAGAGAATTGCCCAGGGGCACACAGCAACTTGGGGAAGAGCTGGACTCGGCAGTGCACCTGGGAAAGTGGTAAAACAAATCTTATTGGGTCTTTACACTTTAGTATGATTTATTTTATCAAATGGGAAATTAGAGTCTTGGACTACTGTGGGGCAAAAATGACAGGGAGCTTGTAAGCTGAAGGATAACAAAGAGGAGGCAGGATTTCACCCCTCCCTTCTCCCAAACCCTACTGCTCCCAGAGTGGGGGTTTGTTCAGCGGCTACCCCAGCCATCCACCCCCTGTCTCATCAGCATCCCATTTACTTCCATTATGGCACTTGGCAAACTCTGCATTTCTCTCGTTTGTCTGTTCACTGATGAAAATGTCCACTGTTCACTCAGAAGAATGTACACTTCCCGAGGAGCAGCCTGGTTACATTTGTTCCTTGCTGTATCTCAATAGCTAGGTGCTGTATCACAGTTGAGTAGATGCTCAATAAAAGCTGAGTTGATGGATCGACAGAATACAGGGTTCACACAGAACTGGATCTGGGCCCAGCTTCCCCCCAGCCTGGCTGTGCCCCCTGTCTGGGCCTGTCCTCTCAGCTGTGGAATAGGGGATGCATTCAGGGATCCCTAAAGTGTCCCCTGGGCTCCAGCTATCTAGGATGAGGTGACACAAGCTCTCTCCTAGGAGGGGTGTGTCACCTCGGGCGGTTCCTAATGTGGGTGGGGCATCAGACACACTCCTCACCTGGTTCCCGGGTCTGCCACAAGTACGTCATCCTTGAGTAGGCTCAGGGCCTCCTGGGTGCTGCCCCTCCACAGCAGCGAAGTCGAGCGGAGCCTTCTGGGCAGCCCTGGGGAGGAGCAGTGATCAGACTTGCTGGGCCAACTGAGCATGTGATGGTGGGCCCCTGAGTGCGCTCCCTCCCCCACCTTCCATGAATTGAGAGATAAGAACCACAAAATCACTTAAAAAAAAAAAACAAAAAAGTAGCATAGACTCTAATCCTGTCTGTGTTATATTGGGCAAGTCACTTAACCTCTCTGAGCCCCAGTCCCCTCATCTGTAACATGAGGGAAATAATGTCCTATATCATTTGGCTCGTGTGAGGATTAGTTGAGATAAAATGCTTAGCATGGTGCCTGGTCATAGTAACTGTTCAAAAAAATAATTGTTATCATCCACCATAGAAGTTTGATTCCACAAAAATCTTGAGGTCAGTACCCAAACAGGTTTTTTGGAATTGGCTTCTCTGCCCACTTGGAATTTTCTGTTTATTGGATGCAACAAGTATGGGAAGGGTCGCAGGACTGGGATTCTTTACATCCTTCTACTCAATAGTTTTCAAGCATCGCTTTTGTTTCAAGGACTGTTCTGGGACCTGGGGGTTCAGTAGTGAGCAAAATAAAGTCCTTGCCCACATGGGGTTTCCATTCTAGGGGAGGGGACAGATGATAAATAAATACTCATACTATGGAGAAAAATAATTGCATGTAAGAAGGGAGGGATTGTTATTTTATCCAAGGTGATCAGAGGAAGGCCTCAGAGAGAAGGTGACCTGTGAGCAGGTGAGAGCCGGAGAAGGTGAGGGGGAGAGCCACGCAGCAGTGTGAGGAAAGAATGTCTCCCACAGAGGGAACAGCTAGTGCAAAGGTCCTGAGGCAGGAATGATTTGGCATGTTTGAGGACCAGTGAGGAACAGCCAGTGTGGCTGAAGAGAAGAGTGAGAAGGGGAAGACTTTTGGAGGTGAGAGATACTGGGGGTGTAGGCACCAGATGCTATAGGGTGCTGGAGGGTGCTGGAAGGACTTGGCTTTTTCTCTGAGTGGGATGTGACCACTGCAGGAGTTTTGAGCAGAAGAGTGATGTGATCTGATGTATATTTTATCAGGGTTGCTCGGGCTGCTGTTTGAAAACAGACTTGGGGGGCAGTGGCAGAAGCAAGGAAGCCTGTAAGGAGACTTGAAAAATCTATGTTTAATTGATGGTGGCTTAGACTCACATGCTAGCAGTGGAGACGGTGAGGAGTGGTTGGATTCTGGATATATTTTGAGTGGGGAGCCAACAGAATTTGCTACTGGAGGAGATGTGGAGGGTGTGGGGGTTGGAGGTATCAGGGTGACTCAAAGGCTTTTGGCTTAAGCAACTGGGAGATGGAGTCTTGAGTCCTGGGTTTAAGTTCTGACTCTGACACTTCCTTTTTTTTTTTTTTTTTTTTAGAAGGGGGAGGGGCAGAGGGAAAAGGAGAGAGAGAATCTTAAGCAGGCTCCACGCCCAGCACAGAGCCAGACATGGGGCTCGATCCCACAACTCTGAGATCATGACCTGAGCTGAAATCAAGAGTTGGACGCTTAACCTCTGAGCCACCCAGGTACCCCTTGACTCTGACGCTTCTTGCTGTGTGGCCACAGACCATGTACCTTACCTCTCTGAGCCTCTACTTGCTCATCTTCAGATGGGCTGAAGCACCTGCAGTGGCTTCCCTGTGAAGTGTTAGAAGGCTTAACTTGGAGAAGCGATGAAAAGCTCCAGGAATCAGAGAAAGCCAATCATAGTGATCATAGTGATCATAGTGAGAGTCAATCATAAAAGACATTGAGAGCCTAAAACAAAGTTAATGCAGGCAGCTGGCCCTTAGGACTGTGGGAGAAGACATGTGGGATGTTTTAAAACTAACCAAGCACAGGGTGCTGGGTTCCCTGGTATGGATAGAGAAGAATCCACAACACACCCCTAGAGGGAGCCCTAGAGTCAGAGTTACAACTGCGTGGATTTAACAGGAGGCGGGAGGAGCCTAAGCTTCAAGGCTCCTCAGCTGCATGGCCCCTTCCAAGGCCTGCATCTAATTTTGAATTTTTAATAATGTATTCTTAAAGAGGGCCCCCAGGATTATATCCACATGAGGCCCCACTAAACCTAGGTCTAACCCTGGCTACAGTAACCAAGGCTACATTGACGAGTACCTGCTGTGTACCAGGTGCTCTGCTAAGTGTTCTACACTCATCAGCTCATTTAATCCCCAATAATAATGTGAACCACAGTCATTTTACAGAGGAGAAAAATAGGGTTCAGAGAAGTTGAATGACTTGCTGAAGATCACACAGCTGGGAGAGGGCAGAGCTGGAATCTCAGTGCTCATGCCCTTAACCACTGGGCCGCTCTCCCTCAAGAAGACTGATCCTGTCCTTCATGAGCTACTTCAGGAGGCTCCATCCTCTCGCTGAGCCTCGGGTACACCATCTGGGCTCAGAAGTGATAACCAGCCACGTCCATCGACTGAGACCTCAGACCTTTTAAAATGACGGAATGGCAGGTATGTGTATATTCATACGGTTTATATAAGTGTGTTATGTAATGTGTACATTATAGTTTCTAACACATATACATTCATATACCCGTGTGCACTCTATGTGTGTATATTATTTTATCCATTCATATGGTAACATCTAACATGGGCTGTTTGAGCTTTTTTTCCCCACTTAAGTTAACATCGTACCTTATTCTATCTCGGTACATAAAGAACATTGTTGCCCTTTTCTCTGGGGCTGCATCTTATTTGATTGTAGAGCCCTGTCCTACCTAGTTCATTTGGCCAGTCCCCCATTTATGGATATTTAGGTGTTTCCATTTTTCAGGCCTGGCTCGGGGAATGGGTGGTATGGCCGGGCTGGATGAGAACCTGCTGCTCAGTTCCCGCACCTGAAATGGTTTGGGTTGAGCTGGAAAAGTCCAGAGCTACTCACCTGAGAGCTGGCTGGCCATCCTTCGGAGGGTGACCGGCGAAGGCCTTGGGGCTGGGCCCACCTCCTCTAGCCCGTCCATCAGGCTCTGTGCGGGGGCCGATGCCAGGCCCAGTGGGTTGTTGATGGTGAAGGTGCTGGCATACCGCTCCAGAGGGTCATCTAGGGAGGCCACAATGCCCTCCTCCCACAGCCGGTACAGCATGAGGACTGGAAAGATCTTGGAGATGCTGGAGATCCTGGACAGTGTTAAGTGCACAAGGGTGCAGAGGACATGCAGTCGGCCCCACAGCCCACCTCCACCCTGCACCCCCACGCCCCAGTTCTAGGAAAGCACTGAGCCCACCCTTACCCAGTGTCTCAGATGGAAACTCACCAGCCTCTGTCAAACTGCCCCTGGGATGTTTGAGAACATATCACGGTGGTGGGTGGATACTCCTGAGCACCCATCCCCATGCCAGGCCTTAACCCAGGCCCTTCCCATTCTGGGACAGATGTGGGTTGGGATCATACTTCTGCCTCACACTGGCCAACTGGTCTTAGGCAAGTACTAGATCTTTCTGAGATTCAGTTTCATTGTCCATTTCACAGGTCGTAGAAAAGATTGAATGAGATTGGGCATGTAAAGTGCTTGGCAACGTACCAAGCAGGTAGGTAGTATGTGTTCAGTAAGTGATAGCAAATATAATTGTTGGCCCCATGCCTGGCACATAACAGGGGCAGTGTGAATGGAACCTCTGACATCCTCACAGTACCTCTGGGAGTGAGCATGTTCACTTTGCATGGTCAGCTTTAAGGACCCCACAGGCAGCACCGAGGAGGGGAGACTGGATGTGCAGCAGAGGGTCCCGTGTTTCTTCCATCTGGACCACTGCTGCCAAATGACAGGGACCTGGGGCAAAGGCCCAGGAACTGGTTATAGTCCCTTTGTGGCAGATAGAAGGGGTGGGGCAGGGGGAATGGGGCACAGGGAGCCTTTTCTAGTTTGGGAGGTTTTGGGCTAAGGGCTCTCCGGAAGGGATTCCTTCCTGACCTATTACCCCTGTCGTCCTGTGATGTTGGGCACTCTCTGGTCCTCTCTGGATCTCAGTCTCCTCATCTATAAAATTGTCAGGACTTAGTAAAGGACGCTGGCAGATTGGACCCCCAGTCATGATTCTCTTGAGTCCCCCTACCTCCTAGGTCTCCCTTGTCCTCCCATCCCTGCCCCCCTCTAGAGGACTCTGGAGGTCACCCAGCTGACCGGTACATGGTGTACTCATTGGGGGGCCCAGAGGCTGGATCTGAGCCATTCTTCTTCCCAAAGTTCCCAGTCCAGAGCACAGTGTCATTGTGGATGACGACTGCAGACATGGCAGCCAGGCCCGGGGCAGACAGGGCCTGACGCAGGATCCGGTCCACCTTGGAGGAGGAGAGCAGGAGGCTCAGAGTGCAGGCGCAGAGACACCCTCTGCTCATTCTGCAGGCCCGGCCCACTCCCACACCAGCCGCTGCACACAGCAGCCCGGGCCTGGCTCCTCTCCCTTCTCTCCCCACTGTTGCTGGAGCCTCCAGACCTCCGGTTCTCAGACCCCCTGGGATGGGACCCCCACCCACTTGCAACCAGAGCAGCTCCACTAAATGTGTTTTCTGTGTAGGGCTTCCTTATAAGATTTTTGTTCAAAGAAACATTTCTTTGGCAAAATGTAAAAGGAGGGAGGGGTTAAACTACTGGTCTAGTTGAACCCTTGTCTGATGCCCTAGAACACGTCCAGCCCGGCCCGGTCTGGCCCCCTAATGTTGGAGAATTCATGATAGAGGGCCCATAGACCCTCTTTGAACATTGATTGAAAAGACATTGTTTTCAATAATGAAATGCAGTGCCGGTGAGAACCCCTGTATCTGTTGGACATTTGGCACGTGCCAGGCATCATATAACATGATTCTCACGCATTGTCTCACTTAATCTTCATAACAAGTCAGTGCTCACTTCTCCCTATTTTACAGATGAGAAAAGTGAATTCATGAGATCCTAAGTGACTCGCCCAAGTGGTGAATGGTTCGTGGAGTCAGGATGAGAAGCCCAGGCGAACTCCAGCCCTAGCCCCTAATTCACGGCCCGACCGCCCTGCCAAGTGACTTCACAGATCCAGAATTGAGTTCTCTCCACCTGTGGTTCCCGCCCCAGCGCTAGCTTCGCCCTGTGTGCCTCTGGGTCCTGCTCTGTGGGCAGGGACTCACATTCCCAGCAAGAGGCCGCCATGCCCAGGTGCCCACTAGAGGGGGGCCATGGGTATCACTGCCGCTTTGTTTCATTTCTGTGACTGTGACCCTGGAGCCTCAGAGCACCACTTTGCTCCCTCTCCTTCACTAAACTTTTCTCATACTTGCAGGCAGCGATGGTGTCTCTCTGCGTGGCCCATGCCTTCTCTCATGTGGACGCCCGTCCCTTCAACTGTCCCGGACGACAGTTTCACATCCCCGCACCGCGTGAAATTTCGTTTGTCTGTGTGTCTCCTGAGGTGAGTGACCGGGGCTGGGGTCTGACCGGCACAGACCAGCGCCGGCTGACAGCCCCCTCTAGTGCCGGCCCCCCTACAGCGTTACTGTTTGCGCTGTAGGGGGTGTGTGTTCAATGAGACGACGCTGGCTTCTGGGGTAGCGGCTCTGTCCTCCTCCTGCACCTCCGGCCCCACCAGCCTGAATTTCCACGTAGTTCTCTGTGTGTCCCTCACCCTCACCCCGCTGCCCCTGGACCCGTGCACATGCCGGCCCCTCTCTCCAGACCACACGCTTCACTCCCCCGAGCTCCCTTACTGTATAAATGCGTATCATCTGGATATCTCCTTCTTGTTCACATCTCAGCGTAGATACCACTCCCTCCAGAAGCCTTGCCTGACCCCAAAGCCAATTCTCTGAACCCCATAGTTCCCTAAAATTTCCTCCCCTCGCTCTTACCCCTCAGTTATAGATGTTATTTGTCTTGACTGTTCTGTCCCTTCCAGACTAGTAGCTTCTTTAGAGCAGGACAAGATCTTCTTCCTGCCATCTCCCTGGTGCCTAGCACAGAGTAGGTGCTCAAGAATTGTATGTTGAATGAATGAATGAAAATACCACGGCTAGTGTCCGGAATGTGCCCTCCCCTTCATCACCCAGGCCTAGCCCACACACTCAGGTGCCTCTTGGGTCATCACTGACCTTTCCCAGGGCCTCCTTCAGCACAGGGAGGGGGTGGGTCAGGGGCACAGGCTCCGGGTGCCGGGGACACATCGTCACAGGGGCAGAAGTCACCTCTGGTCCCAGGGAACCTGGAGGGAACATCACATGGTGAGTGGGGGACAGAGATCAGGATAGGAGTCTAGGGGTCATCCTGGAAGAGATGGGAAGGTGGTAGCAAAGACCAGAGCCATGCCTCGGGGCCAGCCCTTGAAGCTGGCAACAGCCTCCCCAGAAGATAGCGGGGCACAGCGACCCAACATGGGCAGCAAGGGGCAAAAGGCAGAGTCTTCCTGGAAGAAGGGACAGTCCCACGCCTGTCACATGATGCTTGGCCTTCAAAATGCCAATCAGGCCACGGTTCCCAGTTGTCAGCCCTTGTCTCTTGCTTCATCAGCTTCCTCCCTCCATGTAGTCAGCTGACTTAGAAAAGTTCTGGCTCCTTGGGGCAGGCTCAGCCATGTCTGTCTGTCTATCTGTCTCTGCTTCTCTAGTTCTGATTCTATGTTTAGGTAGAGAAGTAGACTTGGGCCTTACTTGGGCTTCAGGCCTAACCCATAAGGGACAGTGCCTTCTGTCACCAGAGCGTTGTGTCTGGGATATCACCTCTAAATCGCGTTCTGCTTTGGTCCAGGTGTATGGCTTCCTGGGAACCTCGAGGGAGAAGGTGTGGGCCCTGGCAGGATGGGATTCAGGCTGAGAGATCATCACAGCGGCCCCAGACCTCCCCCTCATCCTCGAAGAACAGTCTAGAATATTCTTCCAGTTCCTCCCACCTCTTGAATCTGACTGAGTTTGTCAGGAGGAATTGACTGAGCACCTTCCAAAATTAGGCCTTAATCATTTGCTGCATGGGACCACTGCCCCCTTGTGAATAAGCCTGGAATAGCGGCCTTGAGAGCGAGTGTGTTTGTAAGCAGGGACTTGCCCAGGTGACTTTGCCCTCTGCATTGAAAGAGTCCAGGTTAGACCAGCAGCAGAACTGCCAGCAAGCCCACAGAATCATGAGAAGGAATAAATCACTTTGCTTGAAGCCAGTAAGTTTGGGGGTGGCTTCTTACTCAGCATTCGATAACTGATAGGGTCCCAAACAGAAAAATGACAAACCTTAGGGAAGATCTCTCAACAACTCCCTGACATAGGTTTAATAATTGGAGTAGGGAGGGCTCAGCCCAAGCCTAAGCTTTGCTCAGCCTGGGACTCCAGTAGAGCTGGTGCCTCCAGCCCTGCATTAATAGGCACATGCACAAAAAGTCACCTGGCAATCTTAAAATGCAGATTTGAGGGGCCCTTGGGTGGCTCAGTCAGTTAAGCATCCAACTCATGATCTCAGCCCAGGTCTTGATCTCAGGATCATGAATTCAAGCCCCGTGTTGGACCCCACGCTGGGTATGGAGCCTACTTAAAAAAAAAAATGCAGATTTGATTCAGTAGCTATGGGGTGGAGCCAGGGCGTCCTAATTTCTAACAGCCTCTCAGGTGGTGCCCACACGAGGGAGAGGACTTAGATCACCGTGCTCAGCGGTCCCGAGCAGGTCCATGAACTGTTTGTTTCCCATTTGTGACAAACGAAGGAGAAAATTTGAGAGTACACATTTAGAAACTTCTATAGCAGTTTGATGGAGTAATTTTGTGTTGAATCTTAAAACTTGGGCTTCTATTTTATAATCTTTTTTTCCATCTAATTTCTCTCTTTTTTCATTTAATTTCATTTGTATCTATTTATAGTAATGCTGGTCTGCTTTGGATTGGTAGTTTGACAGTTTCAGAAGCATGGCCCTAGAGGACAGGCTGACCCACCTACTTGGGGACTGTTTGCTTGAGGGACTAAGAAGCCCCTGATAGAGGAATTTACCCTAGAAAGAACAGGTTGGGGTGGGAGAGGAAAAAGCCAGCAGGAAAATAAAAGGAGCCACTTCTGCAAAATAGCTCTGTGGGACTTTGGGAGCCCAGGCCACCTCATTGAGCCTTGAACATCTGTAACATGAGAGGAATGGAATGAGACATTGTCCCTAGCCTTTAGCAGAGGCCTGGGATTCTGGATGATCCAGGATCCCAGCAGGTTGGAGGGCAGAGGGGTTGCTATAGCAACAGAAGGCCTGTGGATATTACCAGCAGTGGTGGCTCATTTGCCAAGCTTTGACCAGCCCCTGATGGAGAGGCTCCAAGAAATGGCAGTGTCTGCCCATTTCTTGGACACCTCATTGTTCCTCCCAGGGCCTTAGATATAGCTGGGAGAGGATTTAAGGGGGGGTGGGGCCTGGAGATCCTACCATGAGGGCTGAAGACCAGGCGAGAGAAACTCCGTTTGCACATATTGGGGGACCCTGAGTTTTAGAGCCAGACTAGGTAGTTTAAGGAAACCCCAGTGGCACTGGGATCCATGAGAGCCGCAAGACACAGAAGGGTCACACGACTGGCCCAAAGATAGACAGCTAGGGAGAGTCGGAGTCCAAATGAAGGCCAGAGCTTCTGAGTCTAAATCTTGTGGCCTTGCCCCTACACCTTCCAATCACAGCTCCCAAGCCACAGGACCCACGGCGGGGGAGCAACTCAAGGATGCTGGTGCACTCACTGGTCTTCAGCTTGGGGAGGTGGTACTGCCACAGGAAGCAGCCGGTCATAACCACAGAGAGCAGGAAGAAGAAGCTGCAGGAAGCTGGGAAGAGCCACTTCTTTTTCACTTCCGGCAGGCGGGGAAGCTGGCCCACCTGGAAGGGGAAGGACACAGGGCACGGCCCCATGGCGGTCAGCGGGACCCCTACCATGCCTTAGCTTCACCCAGACATCATGAGAGCCCACAGCTTGGGGGAAGTATCACACCTGTAAAACCAAGGTCCTTCGCGGTATGACCTCTTCAACAGCTGTACCACGTGCGCACCTCCGCACCCCTGGGCCTTTACACAGCCTGTTTCCTCTGCCGGGCATGCCATCTCTCTCCTGTGTACTTAACAAAATACCTAAGACCAGCTGAAATGCCGCCTTCCCCAGCCCTCCTTATCCAGGCCCCCCTCCACGGCACTTTGTACAAGCCTCCGTCGTGGTACAAGTCCAACTCCCTAATACAACAGTTGTTGGACTACTATGAGCTGATGTTCCTAATGGAGTGCGAGTTCTCCAAGGGCAGGGTACCCACCGCTCAAGTTTTTTAGATCTTAACGTTTTACCGTATTTTCCTCCTATCTTTACACTTTAAAAACTGCCACGTCTGTTACTTGTTTAGTGTATGGTCTGTCCGTCTCGTCCCATTAGAAAACAGGGGTTCTTGTTTGCTCACTGTGGTATTCCCTGTGCCTAGAACAGTCCCTGGAACACAGCAGACCCTAAAAAATAACTGATGAATGGATGAAAATAAAACATTCTAGGTGGAGGTGATGCCCTCTTTGTACTACCTGCAGATTTCAGTCTCCTCCCCTTCTTCCCGGATGTAGCGCCCCTTCTGATCTTGCTGTTTGTCATTACCGTGATGTTTTCATTCGTTTACTCTGTATTCATACATCTGCAAACAGCGTGTAGTATCACTTTGCACATTTTTAAACTTATGTAAAATATATCCTATTGTATTATCCTCCTTTTTCCCAATACAATGCATATAGTTCTTCATATTATTCACTTTAACTTCTGTAGAGTATGCTGCTGTATGAATATATTTCAGAGTGTACTAGTTAAACCATGGAGACTAGGGCCGGGCTGCCTCAAAAATGGGACTCTTTTGGGACGCTTTGGGTGGCTCAGTCGGTTAAGCGTCTGCCTTCGGCTCAGGCCATGATCCCAGGGTCCTGGGCTGGAGCCCTGGATGGGGCTCCCTGCTCAGCAGAGAATCTGCTTCTCCCTCTCCCTCTGCCTCTCCCCGCTGCCGCTTGTGCTCTCTCTCAAATAAAATCTTTTTTTTTTGTGCATTTGAGTTGAGACACTGTGCCTGGCAGTGGAATTTCTGGATGGTAAGGTGTGGTCCTTTTCAGCTTAACTGGATACTACCCAGGCTCTCCAAAGTTGTCATTCCAGTTGATACTCCCACCATCTGTGATTCTCATTGCTATTTCTAATTGATAAGGTCAAATGCTATCTCCTGTGTTTACTGTATATATTTGGGGTTGCTTTTCTGTGAATGAACTGTTCTTATTCTTTGCCTGTTTTTTCCTATTCAATTTTTTTTTATGTATTAGAGTTCTTTGTAAGTTCTGGATACTCTTGCTTGTGTTTTGTCTTTTCACACTGTGTTTATGATAACTTTTTTTTTTTTTAAAGATTTTATTTGTTTGACAGGGAGAGACACAGCGAGAGAGGGAACACAAGCAGGGGGAGTGGGAGAGGGAGAAACAGGCTTCCCGCGAAGCAGGGAGCCCGATGCGGGGCTCGATCCCAGGACCCCTGGATCATGACCCAAGCCGAAGGCAGACACTTAACGACTGAGCCACCCAGGCGCCCCTTATGATAACTTCTTGAAAGGCAGAATAGTGTAGTGAGAATCTGTGGCCAGATTGTCTAATTTTGAATCTCAGTTCAACCACTGCCTGGCTGTGTGACCTTAAGAAAGTCACTTACCCTCTCTGTTTCTGTGCCTCTGTTTCTGCACCTGTAAAATGGAAATAATAATAGTGCTTGCCTCACAAATTAGTAAGGATTTAGTGAGTTAATATATATAAAGTACATTTTGCGTTTTTTTGGGTTTTTCAATAATATCTAATTTTTTAAGATTTTATTCATTTATTTGACAGAGAGAGATGCAAGAGAAGGAACACAAGCAGGGGAGTGGGAGAGGGAGAAGCAGGCTTCCCAGCCAAGCAGGGAGCCCAATGTGGGGCTCGATCCCAGGACCCTGAGATCGTGACCTGAGCTGAAGGCAGACGCTTAACGACTGAGCCACCCAGGCACCCCTATAAAGTACTTTTTGTTTGACACATTGTTAAGCTCTATGAGCTAGTATTGTTAAATAAAGGGCTTTTTTTTTTTGGTTTTAGATCCTGACAATCAAATTCATCAATACTGTCTTGTTTGTTTGTTCTGTGTGTGTGTGTGTGTGTGTGTGTGTGTGTGTGTGATTGTGCTCAGGAAATCCTTTATACAGAGGTTGTAAATGTAGATTTCTGTACTTTCACACACACAAATATTTTTGGTTATGGTATAAAGAAAGGAATCTAATTTTATTTTTTCCATGTGGATAATCGATCATCTCAGCGCCATTTATGAAATATTTCAATCCTGTCCCCCACTGACCTGCCACCATCTCTGAAACACACCCGGTATCTGTACCTACCAACGCCTGCTCTATAGGTTCTGTTCTGTTAGGGTCTCACTGAGTTTTGATTCCTTGTGTCTCTGTCCAATCCCACACGCTCTTCCGTGATGAAGGAAGCTCACACATTGAGCACAGACTATGGCACTGTCCTACAGGAAACAGTCTGCCAGAGAGGCTTGCTATAATCTGACCCCAACCGACTCCACGGGCCCATTTCCTGTGTCTCCTCCCCCCTCCCCTTGCATCTTTATGCCTCATCCCCCTCTCCGTGGCTTTGTACCTGTCATTCCCTTCTGTGAGGCCCTTTCTATCCTTTTCCAGCTGACAAACTTGTGTTCTTCCCTTAAAACCCATGGGCATCTGTAGAGCCTTCTCATTCTCCCCTAGCAAAATTGAGGGCCTCTCCTCTCTGCACACCCCTTCCTGCATTGTAATAGTAATCCACATGGGTCCCTACTGGCTTCTTTGTCTGGCTCCGTCCTCGGTGGCAGGTGTCTCCCACACCGGGATCATTCCTTCTTGGCCTTTACGCCCACACAGCTCTTGGCACTCCGCCTGGCACTGGCAGATTCTCAGGAAATATGTTTTTGAACTTTACATTGTCCAGCAAGTTGGAAGTCTTGGGTTCAAATCTCAGCCCCATTTCCTGAGTCGATTGTAACTATGGACAAGTCCCTTCCCCTCTCTGGGTCTCCTTGTCTTCAGCTGTTGGAGCAGGATGGACTATTTGTAAACAGTTTACATTTCCATTTGGAGATTTCACTCATTTCCAGCTCTAGAATTTGGGTTTCCCACTAAAGCCATTCTTTGTTCATAATTTCCAAAGATTGGAAACAACCTGAATGTCCCGCAACTGGTGAATGGATAGACAAACTCTGTTATATACCTACAATGGAATACTTATCAGCAGTGTAAAAGAACAACTACTGATACACGCAGTAATGTGAATGAATCTCAAATGCATTATGCTGAGTGAAACAAGCCAGACTCAAAAAGCTGCAGTCTATATAATTCCATTTTCATAACATTCAGGAAAAGGCAGAACTGTAGGGACAGAAAACCACTCAGTGGCCATCTGGGGATAGGGATGGGGTAGACTACAGAGGAACAGAAGGGACTTTGGGAGGTGATGGAACAGTCCTATATCTTGATTATGGTCATAGGACCGTGTGCATTTGTCAAAACTCGTAGAACTGTACACCATAAAGAATGACTTTTAATGCACGTAAACTATACCTCCATTTTTTTAAATGAATCCGTTAAAGAGCCCAAGAGCATTAGGATGTCTCCACCTAGGTGTCAGAGGAGTGACATGAGACGCAAGACTGGGCTTCAGCCACGAGGAGTGGATGGGGGGCTCTCTGGCATTGTTTGTGTGGGAGGGAAGTTGGAAGGGGCTTCCCTTCAAGCGTGAGCACAGAGCCACTAGAGCAGGGCCAGGGAGGGAGCCCTGGTGGGAGGGCAGCCTGACGTCCCCTAACAGACACCTGTATAGCAGGGGCCAGGATATGGGCATCTCATTTCCAAGTGCAGAATGAAATTCAGACTTTAAATGACTTGCTGAAGTCATGGACAGCACATGACGGGGTGGGATTCTAGCTCTGTGCTCTGCACCACCCCACCCCACCTCACCACGTGACTGGGATCTCTGCACCCCTGATTCACAGTCCTCCTCTGAGGCCCAGTCTCAGGATTTATTCCAGTAGACCCAAAGCTGGGGTCAGTGTTTCACCCGTAAGCCACTCACCAGCTGCTCACATGTTGACTTGCAGTAGCCACTAGAAACCTCTCCCCTCTCCCATCCCAGCTGGAAAATGCTGGCAAGGGGAGGGTTCAGTAAGAGCCTGACTCCGCCCAAATTCCTCCCCTCCCCAGCTCCTTCCCCAGGTGGTCTACAGTCCCAAGACACTCACCTCCATTCTCCTTCTCACTGCCGACTCTGGTACAACCCTCTTCGTCCAGTCATTCATCCAGAATACAGTTTCCAAGGGTCAGCTGTGTGTTGGGCACAGTGCTATCCCCTGAGGGTACAGAGCCTTTGGCCAACATCTGTCCCCCATGGAGCCAGCAGGATGGTGGAGTGGCACACACAAGGGCTCTGGGGTCAAGCAAGACTCGATGTCGGCTCTGCCCTTACTGACCTTGGATGAATGACTTCACCTCTTTGAGTCTTCGTTTGCTTGTCCGCATAATGGGAATGACCATTGTTCCTTCACCTCTTAGAAGTTAGGTGAGGGCAAATGAGATAATGCCTACAAAGCCCCTAGAAAGCTGTTCACTAACTGGCGCTAGGGTAGTGATTTCTCTGGGAGGGAGATGTAAACAGAGCATGGGCACACAGCTCTTGGTCTCCGAGGGACCCGTGAACTCAGCCTCCGGGTGGGGGGGTGGGGAAGA